CCGCCGCCGCCCGCCTCCGCCCGCTCCGGATGTCGGCCTCCAACCACTCCGGCGCCGGCGCCAGCTCCCCCTCCGCCCCCTCGCCGCCCCCCGCCCTCGCGGTTAGTCTGATGTGTCGTCCTCCTCCTCACGCGTTCGTCCGTATGATGTGTCGGAGCTGAGATGCTGGGGCCGTACAATAGTTGCCATGGATGGATGGAACCACCTAGTGCGTTGACTTAGCAACTGGTCGATGGGAAGGGATGCCAGCCTGAGCAACTCCAAGCTATGAACCTGTCTCATGGGAGCGCCTAATGGAAGCTCGCGCGCCAGGTGTTCGACGCTTTGTCCCCCTTTATACTCGTTTCATGGGAGCATTTCATACTCTCTACTTAAAAATAGTGCCATGAGACTGGGGCACATAATTGATTGGAGTTCCTTGAATCACACCTGATGCTGTTTTTCTTTGGATAAAGTGTGGATTGATGCACCCTAGCGAACTGTATAAACAGTTGTATGTTTACCGGATCTGGGCCGGCCCTCCCCGCTCCCTCTTTCCTCTCTATAATTGCAGATTGTGCCCGTATATTACTATGCATTAATGTGGGATGTATAGAGAGGCATGAGTTCAGTTCAGTTCAGTTTATAACAAGAGATTCAGAGTAACGCTTGCAATCTATTCGATGTTTTGTGCAATAGGAAATGGGCTTACACTCTGGAGATCCTTAAGTTTTAATTCCTTCTTGTCTCCCGTGCAGTTTTGTTACTGGTGAAATTATATTGGTCAAGTGGAATAATAAAACCAAGTATCAAGCCCTAATCTTCACTGCTTAGCTTTTCTAGAGAGGGTGAAAAGTTTTCTTTTCCGGAACTCTAGTGTATTTAGTGAAAAAGGACACATTCTTGTTCTGACATTAGTTTAATTTTTACAACTGCTTAGATTTTTCTAGAGAGCGTGCATTTGTTTTTCTTTTTACCTTAGTTTTGAGATCCCTGTTTCAGGCCGCCCCTGCCACACCAGCCGCCGCCGCCGCAGCCCCGTCCATGTCATCCTTGTTCTTCCCCGTCCCTGCTGTCGATGGCGAGGATGACGACGAGGACGTCGACGAGTTCAACGGCTTCGACGCACTGAGCGAGTACGACGCCGGCGTGGTGCGTGCTCTTGCCTTGCTTCGTCAGTGTTCACGGTAAAATGGGACTGCTTTTTTTGGCTGTTGCTGACTCGAAATTGGTGATTTTGGTTAGACGGAGATTGACGAGGAGGACGAAAAGGCCCTCGCTGCATTCATGTCCAAGGAAACCTCCTCCAAAGGATCGCTTTGTGATATCATCCTCCAGAAGATCAGAGAGGAGGACGCCACTGTCTCAACATGTAAGCATCCATTCTCGACTCTGATGCTTCTTATTTATTGACCATTGCGCCGACGAGGAACAATTTTGAATTCAGTTTAATCACATTTTGGCTGCGGAGTAGATTGAAGTAAGATGTCCAATGCATATGTCTAATTGTGCAACACATCAGTATGTAGTACCACAGCAGTTTTATACTCTTATATGGTTACAGATATACTCTTCTTTGTAAACTCAGGGATGGGTACATATATGTTTATCCACACAGTACCATAAGCAAGCTTGATCAGCATTATGATGCTTGTTCTTCTGATATGGAGATAGGGTATAACCATCCAGTCTTTTGGGATGTAATATTTCAGTTTTTGTTATCTTACCATGTGATGCATTAGTTACTACCACGATATAAGGTAGGTCACACCCATTCGTTAGATATTACTGAAGGCAGAATCCTATTTATCAAGTACTGTGCTATTAGTTTGAACATCAGTACTATGCTATGCATCACATGGAAATTAGTACTGTGCTATGCATACAACATAAGGATGCTGATTTTAGTTTTAAAGAAGTAGACTTTTCCCTCACTTGCAACTCCTATGCATAATTAATGACATATGATACCTGAAATTGTTTCTATCAAGTGTTGAGTTCCTGTTATGACTGATTCCTTACCTGGTATGCTGTAAAACCTGCATATATAATTTCGTTCTTATGAGTGTACTGAGGCTAGATTATTTTGTCGCTCAATTTGCAGGCTTTCTTCATGGTTAATATAAATTATGCAAGGATCAGAGATTATGTTTATGCTACTACTAATCATTGTTGGTGAAACAAATGTCATTTGAGAAATCTCGGCCCATTGTTCTTCTTAATGAAGACTGTTACCAACTTTATCCTTTCCTGTGTCTCAAAACTTTCAACCTAGCTCATAGAACGATCTTTTTTTAGGATTCATGGTTTTTTCTTGTTATTATACATTACAATGAGCTGATTGTATCCATATTCCTTACAACTTCATGCACCTGAGCTATTTGCAGAAGGAGGGGAGCTGGCCTTCTTCACGTCTCGGGGGAGTGTCTTACTTGGATTCAACAAGAAGGGGACCCGGCCTTCTTCATGTCTTGTCCAACAAGTATGGTCTAGCCTCTGGTTGTTACCATTGATTCATGTGCATGTGCTAAAAAGAAAGAAAATAACCTATTGGATTTGAAAGAGGACGCGGACTAATAAGTTTTTACTTCTCTGCCATGGGCGCAGGGGTGATCGACGCGGACTACCACAGCCTGGTGGGTGTCGTTCTCTTCAACCACTCGGAGGTGGACTTCTCCGTGAAGCCCGGAGACTGTGTCGTGCAGATGATCGTCCAGGTGATTGCGAATTGCGACGCCGGAGGTCGCCGAGGTGGAGGACCTCGACGTCACCGTCTGGCGGGAGGGAGGGTTTGGGTCCACCGGTGTTTGAACCCCGAGTCTTTGTAGTTACATCTAGACAAGTGATCTGGTTGTTTGCGGCTGATGTTAAATGGGATCTCGTGAACTCTCCGAGTTGAGATGTTCAATGTTCCGTCCATTAACGCTGCAAGTGCTAATGATGGTTATGTGATCTTGGTTTATTTTGCACTAGACATATCTTGATTTCCATCCATGAATACAACATCTGACTTCTATTTTTTTAATGTCTAATTAGTTAGTTGTAGCGTGGGGGGTAATAGTGTGCTACTACTACTTAGGATAATAGTAGCATGGGGGAATGGTTTTCTACTGCTACTAAGGATAATAGTAGCGTAGGTGCAAAATAGTGGTAGCGTGGGTGGAACCGCGCTACTACTAAAATGTTAGTAGTAGCGCGGGGTAAAAAGTGCGCTATTGGTAATATTTAGCTGTAGCGTCATAGTAGTAGCGCGGGAACCCGCGTTACTAGTATGCAAAAAACCAACGGTACTATTAGCGTTTTTCCTAGTAGTGGGGCACGGTGAGTTTGATTTCAATGGTCCTTAGTTACTACTATTCACAATTCAGTTTGCATCATGCTAACGAGACATTATTGGAAATGATCTTTGGTTCAACATGGCTCCCGACAAGCATCGACCAATCCTTTCGCGTCTGCCAATGCCGGAACCCCGACCGGTCCTTCACCTTCGTCTGCCAACAATGGCGCAGTCCCGACCATTCCTACACCTCCGTGATAACGGTATTTTTCTTCTTATTTAGCCTGTTTAGTCCATTTATGACATAATTTAGCTTATTTAGTCAACAAATGACATAATAAGATGAAGAAAATCAAGGAAGAGGAAGGAAAGAAGGAATAGAAAGAAAAGAAGAAGAAGAAGAAGAAGAAGAAGAAGAAGAAGAAGTTCTTCTTCTTCTTCTTCTTCTTATTCGTCTTCTTCGTCTTCTTCTTCTTTTCCTCCTCTTGTTTTTATTCGTAAATGGCATCATAACCTTGCTAACCTCATAAATGTCATATACTTAGCTTGTTGTACTCTAAAATGACACAATAAGCTTAGTTTGGTCAAAAATGGCATAATTTGCTACGTTAGCTCAAAAATGGCATTTTTCTTCTTATTTAGCCTATTTAGTCCATTTATGACATAATTTAGCCTATGTAGTCCACAAATGACCTAATAAGATGAAGAAAATCAAGGAAGAGGAAGGAAAGAAGGAATATGAAGAAAAGATCTTCTTCTTCTTCGTCTTCTTCTTCTTCTTCTTCTTTTCCTCCTCTTACTTACTTTTATTCGTAAATGGCATCATAACCTTGCTAACCTCATAAATGTCATATACTTAGCTTGTTGTCCTCTAAAATTACACAATAAACTTAGTTAGGTAAAAAATGGCATAATTTGCTACATTAGCTCAAAAATAGCATTTTTCTTCTTATTTAGCCTATTTAGTCCATTTATGACATAATTTAGCCTATTTAGTCCACAAATGACATAATAAGATGAAGAAAATCAAGGAAGAGGAAGAAAAGAAGGAATAGGAAGAAAAGAAGAAGATGAAGAAGAAGTTCTACCTCTTCTTCTTCTTGTTCTTCTTCTTCTTCTTCTAGTTTTCTTCCTCTTCTTCTTCTAACTTTCTTGTTTCCCATTTTGCAGATTTAATTCACTATATGGAAGCTTGCATGGATGAGTGCTTGTTTCTCTGTTCTTCTTTTTGTTTTTATCAAAGAATAATGTGGAACTTGTTATATGGATGCATGGAACAATGTGTTGGATGAATATTGTGATAGTAGTGTAAGATGTATGGATGATACTATGTTACTTATGTATGTATATATGTTGTCACGGATAGAGCTATATATGTGTTGGATAGATCATATGTCTGCCGTGCCTGTGAAAAAAAAATATGTATATCTCTGTGTGAATTCTAGTGAAATTAAATGGATATAAATGTAAACAGGGGATATATAGCCTCTTTGCCGTCTGCTGGCGGATGACAAAGCTCTTCGCCGTCCGCTAGCAGACGACAAAGAGTACACGCGGCAGCTTCCTGTAGACACTGGGAACACTGGCTGCCTATTTGGTCAGCTATGCCATCTGCTGGCGGATGGGAAAGACCTTTGAATCTTTGCCGTCCCCCTGGCCACGTGGCAGCTTCCCAGTCCTGGCCTAACTGAGCTCTTTGCTGTCCGCTGGCGGATGACAAAGACATGTGAATCGTTGTCGTCTGCTGGCAGATGGCAAAGAGCACCGTTAACGCTCTAATGGCTCTGACACCACCCCACTGCCGTCTGTAGTCTTTGCTGTCTGCTGGCCTCAGACGGCGGACGACACAATTGTTTGCCGTCAGTTTCATGGAAGCGGACGGCAAAGAAGGTGTTTGCGAGCACCTGTTCAGACGGACAGTTTGCCATACTAGCGGACGGCAAAGATGTTTGTTGTTCGGGATCTATGCATTTGCCGTCTGCCATGGCAGACAACAAAGAAGCTGTTTCCAGTAGTGATACCTACCTATTATGGCATTTTAATAGCCATTCCGAGATATATAGCCATTCAACTTTCCACCATTTCGTTTATTATGACACGCTTCATCATTGTCATATTTCTTTGCATGATCATGTAATTGACATCGTATTTGTGGCAAAGCCACCTTTCATAATTCTTTCATACATGTCACTCTTGATTCATTGCACATCCCGGTACACCACCGGAGGCATTCACATAGAGTCATATTTTATTCTAAATATTGAGTTGTAAGTAAATAAAAGTGTGATGATCTTTATTATTAAAGCATTGTCCCATGCGAGGAGAGGATGATGGAGGCTATGATTCCCCCACAAGTCGGGATGAGACTCCGGAATAAAAAAAAGAGGCCAACAAATGAGAGAAGTCCCAAATAAAAAAATGAGAGAAAAGAGAGAAGGGGCAATATTACTATCCTTTTTCCACACTTGTGCTTCAAAGTAACACCATAATCTTCATGATAGAGAGTCTCATATGATATCACTTTCATATACTAGTGGGAATTTTTCATTATAGAACTAGGCTTGTATATTCCAATGATGGGCTTCCTCAAATTGTGCTAGGTCTTTATGAGCAAGCAAGTTGGATGCACACCCACTTAGTTTCTTTTTGAGCTTTCATACACTTATAGCTCTAGTGCATCTGTTCCATGGCAATCCATACTCACTCACATTGATATCTATTGATGGGCATCTCCATAGCCCGTTGATATGCCTAGTTGATGTGAGACTATCTCCCTCTTTTTGTCTTCTCCACAACCACCATTCTATTCCACCCATAGTGCTATATCCATGGCTCACGCTCATGTATTGCGTGAAAGTTGAATAAGTTTGAGAACATCAAAAGTATGAAACAATTTCTTTGATTGTCATCAGGGTTGTGCATGATTTAAATATTTTGTGTGATGAAGATGGAGCATAGCCAGACTATATGATTTTGTAGGGATAGCTTTCTTTGGCCATGCTATTTTGAGAAGACATGAATGCTTTATTAGTATGCTTAAAGTATTATTGTTTTTATGTCAATATTAAACTTTTGTTTTGAATCTTATGGATCTGAACATTCATGCCACAATAAAGAGAATTACATGGATGAATATGTTAGGTAGCATTCCACATAAAAAATACAATTTTTATCATTTACCTACTCGAGGACGAGCAGGAATTAAGCTTGGGGATGTTTGATACGTCTCCAATGTATCTATAATTTTTAATTGTTCCATGCCATTATATTATCTGTTTTGGGTGTTTTATATGCATTAATATGCTATTTTATATTATTTTTGTGACTAACCTATTAGCCTAGAGCCCAGTGCCAGTTTTTGTTTTTTTGCCTATTTTAGAGTTTCGCAGAAAAGGAATAGCAAATAGAGTCCAAATGGAATGAAATTTTCGCGATGATCTTTCTTGGAGAAGAACAAACCAGGAAACTTGGGGATGAAGTTGGAGACGCAACAAGGCAACCACAAGGATGGAGGGCACGCACGGGGGGTAGGGTGCGCCCCCTGCCTCGTGGGCCTCCTGACCTAACTTCTTTGCCTATATATATTCTCATACCCCAAAAACTTCCAGGGGAGCCACGCAACCACTTTTCCACCACCGCAACCTTCTATACCTGTGATATCCCATCTAGGGACCTTTTCCGGCGCTCTGCCGGAGGGGGATTCGACACAAAGGGCTTCTACATCAACACCATTGCCTCTGCGATGATGCGTGAGTAGTTTACTTCAGACCTACGGGTCCATATCTAGTAGCTAGATGGCTTCTTCTCTCTCTTTGATTCTCAATACCATATTCTCCTCGATGTTCTTGAAGATCTATTCGATGTAATACTCTTTTGTGGTATGTTTGCCGAGATCTGATGAATTGTGCATTTATGATTAGATTATCTTTGAATATTATTTGAATCTTCTCTGAATTCTTATACACATGATTTGATGTCTTTGCAAGTCTCTTCGAATTATCGATTTAGTTTGGCCTACTAGATTGGTTTTTCTTGCAATGGGAGAAGTGCTTAGCTTTGGTTTCAATCTTGCGGTGTCCTTTCCCAGTGACAGTAGGGGCAGCAAGGCACATATTGTATTGTTGCCATCAAGGATAAAAAGATGGGCGTTTCATCGTATTGCTTGAGTTAATTCCTCTACATCATCTCATCTTACTTAATGCGTTACTCCGTTTTTTATGAACTTAATACTCTAGATGCATGCTGGATAGCGGTCGATGTGTGGAGTAATAGTAGTAGATGTAAAATCATTTCGGTCTACTTGACATGGACGTGATGCCTATGTTCATGATCATTGCCTTAGATGTCATCATAATTATGCGCTCTTCTATCAATTCCTCGGTAGTAATTTGTTCACCCACCGTTTTATTTGCTATCTTGAGAGAAGCCACTAGTGAAACCTATGGCCTCTTGATAGAAAAGTGCATAGTTATGAGATTATCTAGGCATGATCATGTATATAGGCATCACGTCCGCAACAAGTAGACCGGCTCCTGCCTGCATCTACTACTA